CTCTCTCTGTCTCTCTCTGTCTCTCTCTGTGTGTCTCTCTCTCTGTCTCTCTCTTTCTCTCTCTCTATCCCCCGACTCTCTCTCTCTCTCTCTCTCTCTCTCTCTCTATCCCCCGACTCTCTTCTCTTCCAATGGCCACTCACTGCCCCTCTAAAGATAGACGCACACGTGATACACGTGGCCATACTTTACTCAGTCTTGATCGGCCCTTCAGGGACAGTTGCAAGTTTCATCGCTTCCCAAAACGAAGAAGAAAAAAAAAGGGGATAAAACAATCCCCAAACAAACCCAAACAGCCAAACAAATCGAATCCACTAATGCGTCAGATCTCGGAAGTTCTTTAGTCAAGATGTTCCCTCTTCAACCTCCCTTATCTTATCATCTTTCTTCCTACACCCAAGCACGGTTCCGGTGTAGCTGTTAGTGTTAGCCGCTTGGCCGTCTCATACAGAAGGCATATGTTCGCTTCCCGAGTGAGAAGCTGCTTGTCCAGTGTTTTAGATTAGTTTTAGTATGAGTTTTACGGCACTTGCAATACAATAAGTAATAATGTTATATAAGTGCCGAAGAATAGAGGTGTTACAAGAGAGTAACAAACACAAAAAAGAAGGAGGAGAGATCAGGATGATAGATGTTTGATAGGAAAGAAGGAGCCAACCACACCAGAGCACCCACCAACCACCCACTTATCGAGTGTCCCCGTTTGTCTTCTATGGTGTATGAGTCTTTCTCAGCCCTGGCATTGTCGAAGTAGCCTAAATCCTAAATGATATAGATAAACTGTATTGAAGAAGGGCGCAAAATATCTACAATAACAATTTTCTTTGACATCCAAATTTTAGTGCGTACTCATTTCTCTTTCTTCGGTCCTTTTCTCTTAAGAATGTCTGGTACTGTCGGTGGTTGGAAGGTGTAATTTTAACTAGTAGGTCCCATTTCTTTTCTTTCTTTTCGTTCAACAACAATACATAAATTAAAAACAAACAAACCCTAAGACAAAGAAATGCCACAACGACAAAATGTACAAGGGAATTCTTCAACACGAAACTATACAAAAACGTAGATCTACAAAAATTCAAACAACTTTATAATGATCCTGTGATTTTGTTTCGTCTCGATTTTTGTAGCCTATCCGTTTTTGAGCTCGTATGCTTTGAAATTTCATCAGAAAGAAAGTGATGAAATTATAGCTCTATTAAATGTAGTCATGATTCACCAGAAGGGTATAATATAGACCAGTAGGTTTACATAGCACATTACTAATCGTGTGCCAGACACGCGCTGTTGGCCACCCAAGCGTCATAATGTGGTCAGAAAAAAATGGAGAGGGGGGGGGGGGGCAGCCGGCCGGAACCAAAACATCAACAACTGGATAGCCTGGGGGCTTGGAGTGACCGGACTAGCGTGGCCAGGGAATGCGTCATCCAGCGCGCGGTGTGCGTTGTACAGAGACTGGACACAGAGAGACAGCGGGTATCATGCTGGTACATGTCAGTGCCTTTGACAAGCAACCCAAAAAAATGCAAATCAGTAGGCCTACGTACATAAATACACAGTTAGCCATAGAGAAAGCATGATTATGGTTAATAAGTGGCAATGTTAAAAAAAGAGAGTGAAATTTTTGTTTTGTTTACTCGAGCAACAACTTGGTTCGATTTTAATGTCCATCTCCTCAAAGAACAAGCGAAATGGGAAAAATCGTATAAAATGTCTTTTCCAAGGACACACTGTCGGACCAAGCTGAGCTTCGTGTCTATTTAGAGGTAGTATTTGTCCAAAAGCAAAACAAAATCAAACTGTAAGAGACTTTTGCTGTTTTGATTGTCCAGCTTTAGACTATCTATATTATGGTAAATATATTTACCTCCTCTCTAGCTTTAAAAGAATGAAATAAGCACTCTTTTATGACCATCACTGTTTTAAAAAAAAGGCTATAACCACCAAACAACCGTACGTTTAACCTTCTCTGACAATACAATCGTAACCTCTCTGCTACCGACATGGCAAAATTTAGCTCCGATCACAATCCTACGTTCACCTATATCATTGTCCGACAATCGTAAACTCTCTATTCGCTCGACGCGTGCCAAATCCTCTGATCTCATTCGCGTGTTGTCGTTGTGACGTCCTTTAGCCCCGCCCCTCGCACGAGTTACCTCTCTGATTACACAAAAAGCCACGCCTCCCTCCCCCTTTCCAATAGGAAACAAAGCTGTAATCCTGCTATTGCCTGCTCGTGTTTGTACAACAAATTAGCTGTTTGGTGGTAATTTATGAGCTGGTAGCAAGTCGAATCAGTCGAGCTGCCCAGGAGCAACGAGATCAGGCTTACTTTGATTAGGATATTACTGCTAATGACACTGGGGTGTCAGTGAGGGGAAAACCCCCCCTCAAAAACCCTCACAACAACAACGAAAAAACTAGTACCCATCGAGAATGGTACAGTGGGGATTTCTGACGCAATTTGTTCAGCACACGGTCATAACCTATAAGAGTGACAACTGAGGCATCTGTGATTATGTGGATGCAGAGATCAGAAAGTGTAAATAAGTCAAATCCAATGTTACGGAAAATGTAGTCCATCTAGAAGACGTTGAAAAAGTGTGCTTCTCTAATAAGGATTATGGATTCTCTAACGTGAAGGTAAATTAGTGTTATTCTGCCATGCAATAATAATGATATAATAGTAACACACGAATACCATAATTGAGATTCTGTTATAAAAAAAAGATAAAGGGATAACACAATAATGATTACAGTAAGATAGTACAATATTAATACAACACTTATACTACAATACAAGCATAGATCTAGATCTATTACTCGTATTCCAAGAACGTGGGCATGTTGTAGATGTAAGTTTGAAGGTGAGACAGTCACCCTCAGGGGCATACCGTATCAGAAGTCATAATGTGGCTGGTTTAGCCTTTATTATTCGAAGTGACTATTTCTCCGAACGTTCGGGAAAATAAACTTGAACTCTATTTCTCCGAACGGTTTCCGATCTCGAAAATTTCGGGGATATTTGCGAGATTTAGGCGCCATCCTTTCATTCTGCCATTCTTCGAGGACTGGGAAGAAACATTTTTGGGTGTTTATTTTTCTCGAAAACACTTGAAAACACTAGGAAACACTCGAAAACACTCGAAAACACTCGAAAACACTCGAAAACACTCGAAAACACCTTTGTACCTTTGGATGAAATCATCATTTTAGTTTCAGAAGGCAGCCTAGAATCAAAGATTAGGCTAGATCTATGCTAGAAGGGAGTGTATAGTGTATACAGACCCGGTAACCGAGAACAAAGTCACAAAGTATACAGACCCGGTAGGGGAACTCTTTTGTGATTTCGGAAAGTTTCAGCGCCCTCTTGGCTCAGGGTAGACCGAATGCTAGAATCTCAGTATTTCTGGACCGGTCTAGAATAGCATTTCCAAATGTCGTGACGTGACAGAGAGAGATGGGCGGGTACCCGGAGATACAGGGGATACCCACGAGCAATAATAACAAGAGACGCTTAAGCAAATTCACAAGTTCCCTTTATCGCAAAGACGCATTCCTGAAAAATCAGGATCAGTTATTGTACAAGAAGTACAAAAAGCCAGAAAACATAACACGTACAAAATATGTATTCAAAATAATGTCAATAAATACAATTATTACAAATATACAAAAAATTCCCCAAAAAGACAAATATTTATGGATAGATTGAATTTTTACAATCGACATACTACTGCATGGTGGGATTTGTCCTGACGAGTAACAGAAAGTTTTGAAAACTAAACAGTAAACACTGAAGTATTTAAACTTACTTTACTTTTATTTTACTTTTCCGATCCAGCGGCCATTTGGGTTCTAGCCCTTCGGTCTGTCGATATGGCAAAGAATTGACAGGTTTTAATCAGCTGTGCTTTGTCGCTGTATAGAGTGTTTCCGATGTCTGGGAGGCAGGTAGGTAGGTGCTACGCAGGTCACAAAGAAGTATTTAAACAAAATCTGAAAATTCATCTGATGAATCGTAATCGTGTGTAGGTCTTACTTTCTTGACAATAGATGTATTTTCTGCCTGTTTTCGTTTTTTCTGACCAGGTTTTTTCCCTTTGTGTTTGGGTTCTACCGCAACCTTATGTGAGTTGGTGCTCCTTGATACTAACTCTTTTATTGAAAAAGCATACTTCTGCATGTGTCTGGCCATCTGCTTTTTGTATTTTGTAAACCAAACATCTTGCAGCACCTTTGTAAACCAAACATCTTGCAGCACCCCAATTTTTTTTAACTCGTCTGTCAGGACAACCCCCCCCCCCCCCCCAATGCCGCAGATGGCCCTTTGAACTTCCCGTATTCCACCACCATGTGCAGCTTGAGTATTAAGTCGACAAGTTTCAAAGAACGCCATGAGCATGCCTGCTTTAGCACATGGTTGATGGACTCACTGTTGTTGTTTGTCCATAGGGCGTTATCCAAGCACAACCCGGAGCGGTCCAATGCCTTGGCATTCTCGATCATCAAAGGAGACAATCTTTCCAACAGCACTTTAATTTGGGCATTATCAATGCTATCAATCAGAGACAGAAACTTATCCTCTATCTCCACATAGTTGTTAGATGTGGCAACAGTACCAGAAGGTGAAAAAATATACTTGATAAGTTTCTGTCTCTGATCTCGGGGCATGCCTATCTTATCGGCCAAAGCATGCTTGAAGTTTTTCTTTAGATGTGTGCATGCCAGTCTTAGTGACGTGGGAAATGCCAAGGACATGGCCTGACGAGGAGCTTTCTCTTTGTCACTGCCAAGAGCTGGGCACTGCGCACAGCCACCAAGCTTTCCTGACAGGTGGTGCAGGAATAGACAAAAAGTTTCTCTGTCGCTGTTGCCATGGAGAAACATTGGCCTGCAGAAAACAGGAAAATCGTCATGCCGCTTAGTCTTGACTGCTAAACATTTAAAAACAATAACTGTGACGTGGGCAGTTCCCAAGTTAAACGTTTTATCTAGCTCCAGAACCGTCGAGTCACCTGACATCGGAAGACAACAAAACCTCTTTAGGTCCTCAAGTTGGTCTTGTGCGTACAACACAATACATGGCACTTTCTGACTCTGTCTTATTATCAACTGTATGAATGGCAAGGTATGTTGCAGTTCTTCGACTGCTGCCACTTCGTCAGCAAAAGTGGCTTTGTGGACATCTTGTGAACCCTGTTTTGCTCTAGCCTTGGCATTGTATATTTGCCTTTTGTTGGTTGGCCCTTCAAAAAAGTCGCATGAGGAATATATCTCACTAGCTTTCTTAAACTTTGTTTCCGATTTGACTTTTTGCATTACTTGTGGGTGCATTCTTACATATGAATGTGGCTTAATTTGCGGACAAACTCCTTTGTACTCATACACTGCAATGGGAGTACCCCCCGACAATCAAGAGACTCTTTTTTATACTGCTCTCCACTGCCGTGTTTGGCGTAGTATCTGTGGAGGATGAGAATGTTGTCTACAGGTGGCTGAGGGTCCAGTGGTACGAAAAACATCTTGTTGTCATTTTTTTTCCTGACAGTGTATTTGTTGTCCTTTAAAGAAACTGATCTGATTGTGCCTTCTTCTTTCAAGGAAAATGTTTTACTGCTTCCACCCCCCTTCCATGTCCCCCGATCATCCTACCTTGCGCCCTCTTTTTTATGTTGTCTTCGTTACTGACATCGAAGCATACATTGTCCTTGGGCCCAATGGGTACCTTTTCCAAACTAATGGAGAGTGAGGCTGAGCTCAACAAATCTATAAGCACATCCGCGTCCAAAAAAATCATCACAGGGCAGAGGTTTCCTGCCATCATCCAGATTTGCTCCACTACCATTATCACCAACGTCTGCATCATCCGAACTACTACCAACACCAACACCAGCATCACCACAACCATTTTCATCATCATCATCCAGATTTGCACCACTACCAACACCGTCTGCATCATCCGAACTACTAACAACACCAACACCACCACCAGCATCACCACAACCACCATTACCAAAAACACTACCATCATCATCCAGATTTGCATCACTACCTTCATCACCAACGTCTGCATCAACTGAACTACAACCAACACCACCACTACCAGTATCACCACAAACACTACCACCATTACCAAAAACACTACCATCATCATCCAGATTTGCACCACTACCTTCATCACCAACGTCTGCATCATCTGCACTACAACCAACACCACCACCACCAGCATCACCACAAACACTACCATCATCAACACCTTCATTGGTTAAGTCAACCATTACAACATCAGGCTGTATTTTTTTTCAACACAAAAAAGTGGTTTTGTCTGAACCGAGATGGTGTTTTCGGAACGAATGTGGTGGTCCACATTAAAATGACATCTGATTTTTGTCTTTTAGACACACCTCGCCCAAGCACCACACGGGACAAAGGCTCGCTTAAAAAATATGCAGCCTGTGTGGGCGGACAGTAGGACTGGATAGATATATTGAGGGCAGCGCTTATAGCACTGAGAATCATCAAGTCACTAAAGCTGCCCAACTTAGTGACATCCTTCATCAGGTCAGCGTACTTGTCGAAAACAAGTGTGCATATAGTGACGTGATAGTTCTCAGTACCATACTGTTCTAAAGACACGGTCCTGAAAAGACCTGTCACTCATAACAGTGCATGAGTCTCTTTTATAATGAGGTGATACTTGGTCAGTATGTCTGAGGCCACGGCATCAACTCGAGCACTCTGGTGACTTTTTGCGGCGCTTAGTTCTGTGTCTGGTAGCATCACGTCGTACGTCTCCTTGAGGAGCTTCTCAGCCCGGGCTGCGTCGAGAATTCCAACATTTGATGAGACCGCTGCATTGAGTCTGAAAATAAATAATAAAAAAATAGAAGAAAAAAAATTAACAAATACAACTAATTTATAACGTAACGTACTAATCAACCCTTATTATGTTCTTGTAACCACCTCCCTTGGGCCCTGCCTTTCCGTTGTATTCCTTACCTCCACGTACTTGTTCCCC